CTTGGTTGGCTGTATCATCTTAAAATCCTATCATTAGCATGCTTTAAATACATATTATAGGTTCTAAATCCCAGGGTTAATTGGCCCCTTGTCTGCTAATTGGGGGGATACCATGATTAATAGGCCCCTAGTTTGCTAATCAGGGGGATACCATTTAGTACGAGCCCCTAAACCCCTCATAATTATTAGTTTAAAGTTTTTGTCCCAGACAAAAACAAAAGTTGGTGCTAAGCTGGTGCTACTATGAGTCGTGAAATACCATTCTTTTCCATGAAATCCCATAAATCCTGTTCTGTCATGGTGAATCAAGCGTTTAAGCCCCTATCAGGTATAGTAATTAATCCTTATTAATTATATTTAATTCCCCCCCTGATTTTTCATTATTCCATTATCGGTAATTACAAGTCCAATACTTCCATTTTAACAATAAACAATACACCTTATTGATATTCCTGGTCAAACCCCTATTAGTCGTGGTTAATTGTTAATCCCATTATCGTTGTTGAATTAAAATTCCATTATCATCTTGCAAAAAAAGAAACAAGTATGAACTATCCTCCCAAATTGATCATACTAGTAACCCTGCTGAGTTAGGCTTTAACATCACAGTTGGTCTCAACTATCGAGGATAATTAGGGTTAATTAGGGTTAATGATTAATTCCCCCATAATCTTTTTTGTCACGAAATTATTAATCACTAATTCCCCTTTATTATTAAATCCAGTTATTAGCCATGAGATCCCATTTATGAGTCGCTAATCCAGATTAGTGAAATCCCATGAGTCATGAAATCCCTTCAATCCCTATCATGGTGAATTTGGCTTTTAGATTCCTATTATCATACTATCTTGAAATCCCATTTTTATCCATTTATTAGGCACTAATCCCTATAATTTATCAGTGATAAGCAAGGTTATTTAGACTTAGCTATTAATCCACCCCATAACTACCATACTATACTAGTACCAGTTATATCCATTTATTGGGGACTAACCCCTACAAGGGGTGAATTTCCCCAAGAAAAACACCTCCCGCAGGCCATCAAGACCCGCGGCGAATCGGTGGCGGTGGTCCTGGGCCTCCTTGGCGCGCGGCCCGTCACCGAAGGCACGGGCCGCGTGGCGCGATACGTGCCATGCTTCGAAAAGATGGGGTACCTTTGGGCAGCCCAAAATCGATGGAAAATGAATAAAAAACTGATGGAACAGGTCATGAAAGAGAAAAAAAACATGAAAATTGGTTAAAAATGGATAAAAATGATGGAAAATGGATGGAAAATATGGATATCAACTATGAGAAATGAGATGTGATTATCAAGATGTGGGAGTTTAAGTAGCAGAAATGGAGATTGATTGAGGGAAAATTTGATCTGAACAAACAAGAACGGAGTAATAGAGGCGATGGCCAGGGTTTACAACAAACAAAAACGGGGATTTGGAACAACGGTAAAGTTGGCAGCAAGAACCGAGATATTGTCAACCAAAACAGGACGGTCAACCAATAATTATAGAAGTGGCGTAGTTAACTGTAGTAGTAAGACAACCGATAAAGACAACCAAGGTATCACCAGTAAGACTGGGGAATTAGTGACAGACACTATCCAAGATGGAGATAAGACTCAGAAAGATGGTAATCTGGCCAACAAATTTGGATACATCATGCAGGCTGCAAACTGGAAGACAATCGAAATGGAAGAATGTGTGTTCGATAGAGAGAAAAACTTAGCAAGGGAAATAAACACATGCAAATGTTTCCCACTACAGCTACCATATGCTACTGAAATATCAGAGTATGCAGGGTGTCAGGCGTGGGAATCAACCCAGCAGCAAGTAACAGTATTCACGGTCCGGATTGTTGTTGTTAGTGGCATCCATTCTTAGGGGAAGATGGAAAAAACATATGTCAATGGCCAATTCTGATGCATGGATCACTGGCATTTTAGGCCCAAGCAAAAATGACGATCTAAAGTAGAGATGACCAAGCAACCCTGAAAGATGCAGCTGAGAAAGGTGCAGATGTCTTGAACTCATGAATTCATGTTGGATCATCACCTGTCCTGCTGCTGGATTCTGTTTTTGGTGAGTTTCCTTCGGGGCATGTCTAAAATCCACAGTCTTGTATGAAATTAAGTCTTATTTCCGCTGTTTCCTCCTTTTTCCTCCAAAATTTCACATGGCGTCCGAACTCGATTGACCCCTGTGGGGATGCGTCGAAAGTAATTATGTAAACATTCTCAAATGGTGGTTTCTTGAAATGGGAGAACCCAAAGCAGCTACCGTATTGACTGTATTCAAAATGACCAAGAAGTTGCATGATTTCGGGGCGACGCCTCATCTCAAGAAATCTCTACCTGGTTGGTGGTTTGGAACATGTTTTATTTTCCCATATATTGGGAATGTCATCATTCCAACTGACGAACTCATATTTTTCAGAGGGGTAGGCTCAACCACCAACCAGCTACCATTGGACGCTCTTCCAAGACCCTCCCATGAACCAAGGAATTGATACCACTTGAGGAGCTGGGCCGTCCACGAGTGGATGCCCTTTGTTCTCTCAGTCCCTTGGGTGATGTCAGAAGTCGCCAGGAAGTGAGACAATGGAGCAGTGGCTGCTAAACGCCTTTCGGTTGATTCCATCGGTCACTCCATCTTCTTGGTGAAAACCATCAACTATTGAGGAGTCAATCCCTAGTGTTGCTAGGTTGAAGCTCCCATTTTTTGGTTACCATAATTTTTGCCATAAATTTTGCCATAAATGTCCAAATCATCTGGATTGTTGTTGGTTGATTTTCCGTGCTCAGGTGAGATTTCCATGTTAAGCAGACTTATTCTTGGCTAGATCACCGTTTGTGTTCCTGATGTATGGTGAAATCCCAGTTTTCCACGCAAGTTCTGCCATTGTGGCTGGTTGACTGTCAATGTTCGCCCTTGTTTGCTGATACGCTCATGGCTTGTTTTCGTTGAAATTTCCTTCTTAATCACTTTTGTTTGTGCATTTAACTCCTTAATTTCAAGACGTCAAATTCATTGTTTTCCATCAAGTGTCCATCACATGTTCATTTCCCGTCTAATTTCCATCCAGTGTTCCCATCGGTTGAGCCAATTTCCCGGATAAATTCCATCAGTTTTCCCTTAATTCTCCATAGATTCCATAGTTTTTTCCATTGTTTCCACCGTTTCCATGGGTTTTCTGAATTTCCATAGTTTTTCCATAGTTTCCATTGGTTTTCTAAGTTTCCATGGGTTTCCCATAGTTTTTCCATAGGTTCTCCAAATCTCCAAGAAAAATCGCACCGCAGGCGGCATCTTCCGCGATTCCTTCGCCAACGTGGTGGAGCTCCTGGACGACGCGCTGCAGCGCGCGGCCAAGGCGGCCGACGAGGCGCCAGAGCAGAACTTCGTTCGGAAGCATTACCTGGAGCCGTGGGGAGATGTTCAGTTCCAGGGTTGGCTGGGTCATGGTAGAAAAAGGGAAATACATGGAAATGATCCAGAAGTCATCCATTTTTTGTGGCATCAGAGTGAAGCGAAGATTATGATACTGAAGGTTGGTTCAAGGGGATACAAAAAAATATGTCAATGTGATGCTTGCGATATGAACAAGATATTTAAGGATATGAATAGGGAGGGGACCCAAGCGCAAAGCTCCATTTCATGGAAAATTCAAGTTTTTCATTCAATCCTTCGGAGTAAGCTTTTATATGGATTGGAAACTATCCAACTTAACCAGTCAGAACTTCATAGATTAGATGCGTTTCAGATCAAAGGATATCGGAGAATTCTACAGATCCCACCCACAAGTGTTGACAGAACAATGACCAATGCATCGGTAAAAGAACTTATCAAAAGTCACTATGGTGTAACAGTTATGGAATTCTCAAAACTAACTATGGTTGAAAAGAAAAATTCAGCTCTTAGGACACATCATTCGATCAGACACACAAGATCCCATGCGTCAGGTCCTTTTTCTACCTATCTCACTCATACCTAGAACTGAACACGCAAGACGAGTAGGCAAACCCAGAGCTCACTGGCTAATCGAAACCTATGCAGATGCTTATAGAGAAAGTGGTCACGTAGATCAGTATGACATCAACAACATTCTTCAAAGAAATTTAGTAAACGAATTGGCCCAGCAAAGACTCAACATTTTTCCTGACACTCCATCGCACACCTCTTCACCGAAAGTTTCATCACCGAAAGCTTCGTCCCCGAAAGTTTCATCACCGAAAGCTTCGTCACCGAAAGTTTCGTCATCGAAAGCGGGCATATTCCCGGCCCGGCCTCAGAAATAATAGATGTCTACACACCCTTTTTGCTCCTTTTGCTTCTGTTCCTCCCCCCCTTGTTTGATAATTTGATTTTTTCCTCCTATTCCGTGATTCAGACAAAAAACGATCATGGTGCTGCAAGGTTCACAAGTTCAGTTTCAATCTGCGAAGCAGATAGCTAACAGTTGGATTCCTACTCAGCTGCAGCTGCGGCTTGTGCGAAGCAAATAGGGAGGGGATGTAATACAACCAATAGTTGGGGATGCCACAAGTTATGGAGATTTTTATGGCAAGTTTAATGAATATGAATGGGATGTTAATAGATTTGATAGGTATCAGGGGTATCAGGTAGGTATGATCACCATAGTCTCCAGCAGGGTATGTGCAGACCAGCAGGAGTTGCTAGAGGAGAAAGAAGACGAGGAAGCGGCCTTGTATCGCGGCGTAGCACCAGGGGAAAGTTTATCTTGGTTGGGGTGTGCATTGGTTATACCTTCCGGTAATTCAACATTGCTACGGGATACTACGGGAAATGATCCATGTGTAGATGATTTACCTATTGAAAATGTTAATGTTCCCATGGCGATATTAAATCACCAGAGGATACCAGATGGCATTTCGCATTAAAACTTCCATTTTTGATCGGGATGTCCGCCAGTTCTGCCGGGCTTCCAGAATTGCTTGAAACTGGGATATCATGGGATATCGGTTCGCCCGTTGCGAATCATGAACTCGGACGGACCAGTCGTCGAACCGCTGGAAGCCAGAACCAGACATATGTATGTGTATATGTATATACATATATATATATATACATGTGTGTGTACTGCACATGTGTGTACAGGTAGGTTAGGTACAGTTATGTCTCATACATGAAATACACTATGGTATATATATAATGTTTTATATGCATGAAATGCTCAACATATATATCTATATACATACATACATGCATGCATGCATACATACATACATACATACATATGTACATAGGTACATAGGTACATAGGTACATACGTACATACGTACATAGGTACATACTTACATACTTACATACGTACATAGGTACATACGTACATACGTACATGCGTACATGCGTGCATAGGTACATACGTACATACATGCATACATACGTACGTGCATACATACGTACATACATACATGCATACATACATACATACAGACATTTACATACATAAATATATATATATATACATAAATATTTATATATATATACATAAATATTTGTATATATATACAAAAATATAAATATATATATATACACGACATGGTTTAAATAAACATTGAAGAATCATCATACTCAAGAATCCTTTTTCGCGCTGGAAGAAACTCCCTTTTGTCTGGAAATTCGCCTCAAATATTGAACTGCAACGTAGCTGCAATCGGGATTGTAACCACACATGCATACATCACATCACATCGTGTTCTACTACCACTGCCACTACCTTCACCTTTTTCATACCATAGAACCATACAACCATATAACCATACATACAACCATACAACCATACATACAACCATGCATACAACCAAACATACAACCATACATACGATCATACACACAACCATACAACTGTACATACAACCAACAACCGTACATGCAACCATACAAACATACAAAACCATACAACCATACAAGACCATACAAGACCATACAAGACCATACAATACCATACAATACCATACAAAACCATACAGCCACACAACCACACAACCATACATACAGCCCTACAACCCTACAACCCTACAACCATACAACCATACAACCATACATACATACATACATACATACATACATACGTGCCCATGTTGGCAAGATTCTCTTTGGCATAACCGCACTTCCAAACGGCTATTAACCCCTCGTAGTTCCCAGTTTCAGAGGTCTCGAATCTTCTCCAACGCTGCGGGAGAGTTTGGGTCCTTGGTGATCCTTGGCTGGTTGCTGAAGGGTCGGAAAAGAATGGTGCTGTAACCTACAAAAAGTTTGGATTTTTCACCATCAAAAATATGGGTTTAAACCCTTGGTGATGGGCAGTTTAGCAGTGTAATTTTTTGTTCTAACTGGGGATAAATGTAGCAGGGTATCTTCTAAGCTTGGCCATGGTGTGATGGAGGGAAGATCCCTGGTTTCAGTGGAAAAATTCGCGTATCAATGAGAAAATTGGCAAGTTGGGGATCTGCCATCATTATGCAACTGTATGTTTGTGGTTTGATTCAGTGCCCCAGATGTTTGCAGTTCGGTCCATAAGCAGGAAAGGGAACAACGATGTCCAATTTCAAGCTGGGATCGATGTTTTTCCTCGCTGATGTGGTTCCTTGTTATTGTGAAGAGAATGACTCCAGCACATCAAATGCGCAGTTTACTTCGGCGATTTGGGGTTTAAATGTATCCTGTATTTCCCTTGTGCTTGAGTGGCGTCGATTGAGAGCTTGTGAATTGATGCCAATTTACTGTTCTTTATGCCTGGGTGGATCCACAAACACATGACACAGCAAAGCACATGCCTCCCTAAGGAACGAACGAGTTGTGGCGGGCAACTGGGAAAGTGATGAGGCGCCCCCTAAATAACACACGCGACGGGGCCTGGTCGATTTGCATCACCCAGTAATGGGGAAGCGGTGCTATCGGGATATATTTGGGTCATGCTAAGGCTTGACAAACCATGGAATAGATTAGAATATATAGATATATTATGATATATTGATGTATATTGATATATTGTAAAGCGTGGACCAGTACATAAATTAAGAGTCCACAGAGTTGAAGCCCGAGAGTTATAATGCTTTCGGACTGCGGTGAATATGCGTAAAGAGGAGATAAAGAGTAGAGTGTATTTGAATATGGTATTGGCAGCTTGCAGTAATGCGCTGATATCAATACGAATATATAGCTACTGGGTTGATATTGTCCTAGAATTGGATGAAGGGAAGATTTTATGGCAAAACATATAATAAGATGCAAAAAATGCCGTTTCCGTATTTTTCCAGCAAACCAACCCATTGATATTGGTAAGGATATGAATATTTTGGTCCATGTTGGTTTGTTTTAGTAGCCAAGCCATCCTTTTTGTTTTTCGGATACTTGGGGATGCATCACAGTTGCGTACAGTCACCATTTAGTATTACCCCAGTTTAGTATCTATATATATATATATACGGAAAATCCCTGAAAAAAAAACTATGGCATACATGGCTTATCAAGTAGACATGGCTCATGAGTTCCCCCTGGGATTTTCGCCATTTTCGCCCCAGGAGTTGGGTGAGACTTGGGCCTCGCGCAACGCCTTCGCCTTCGGACGGCAGCAGAAGGGCGTGCAACGTAGCCAGGTGCCGGATCGGCGGACGGAAGCCATGGAGAACCAGGGAGATTTGTCCCATGATGATCCAATTATCCCATGATGATCCTCTGGTAAACATACAAAAAACATAGAAAAAACTATGGAAAATCACGAAAATATCAAAATCAACTATTTTTATGGGCAATGTTCAATAGCAAACGGTTAAATTACCAGAGGGTATCTATGTTGATTCACTGCAGGGTATCCTAAAGTTGCCATTTCTGGGAATCTGATGATCAACCCTGTGATTTTTCTCCACGCCCTCATTTCTCGAGACCTGTCGCGGACGTTTCGGGGCGGGTTGTGGGGCAGCTAAAAATGGACCCCCTATCTCGAAGCCTCCAAGTTACAGACCATGCCTCTGTGTGTGTGTGTGCGTGTGTGTTTGCATGTCCCAGGACAATCTGCTTAATGAGCTCCCAGTTTTGTAACGGTTCAACTCAAGCCCTATGCCCTATTCCTGACTGTTCGTCAGGTGAACCATGTAAGACAATACTAGCGATTACCTCATTGTTAAAAGTAAAGACAAGTGACCTCGAAGCGTAAAACAAACATAGTGTTTTCCTTCTCCATATCCCAGTGTTCTTTGACATCCCCCATTTTTTATTTGCATCCCCAGGCTAAGTAGGTCCACACTTTTGTTGGATAAACCCCAGTGGTTGTTAGTGAAATCCCCATTGTTGTCCTTCGTGAAATCTCCATGTTTTGTTGGATAAACCCCAGACATATCCCATGTCATCCCATGTCTTTTGTCAAGGTCTTGGACAAACTTCTCAGCACCTCCGGAACACTTCTGCAGCTGACTGACTCTGTGGAGTATGGCCTCACGGATATCCAGGTGGCTTTTTGAACAGAGGGAACAGTGGGATGATCACGGGCCATCCAACAGCCATCCAACAGTGGTCCAACGGCAAAAATCCTCCATGACTCAAATAGATGTTAAATGTGACCTTGTTTGTGAAGCCCTTTTTGGCGTTGATTTGTTTGGGACTTGGGAACCTTCTGGCTCTGTGTACCCTTGTCTGCATCTTGTGGCTATCCTACTTGTCTCCACTTGAGCTGTCCCAAATTCCTGTCCTTTATCTGTTTAAGCCTTCTGTGGACTTTTGAAGTTGAAGTTTGGACATGTTTGGACTGTGTTTAGTGCAAAAAAAAGTCGAAAAACATGTCGGGAAAAAAAATAAACCTGCTGTTTTTCACTTCAACAGTGGCATCAAGTTTGGAGCGGGTCTTCTCGGTGGACTGGATCCATGGAGGCCATCCCAAATGGCCGATGTTCCAGAGTGATCTTCAGCGGATTTTGTTTAACTTTAGAACTCAATCAAAAAAACAAGGATACAGTACATATACACTGAAAGTCAAGCTTTTTCGCACCAGGATCCATGCATGTGCGGCCCCAAGGGCCTTGAGCGACGTCCTAAACCCTGGGCCGTAAGTGGCTGCTGAAACTTCGGCTCTCCGGCAAATACCCTGAAGCCAATGGAATCTCAAGAAATGTCGGTGATCATATTCTTAACGTAATCTGCTGTGAAAGGTTCCTGTGATCATGTGCATCACATAATCTGCCATCGGCTGCTTCTGAGATCATGTTCATCACAAAACCGATCATCGAAAACCAAACTGAACGGCTACTGGTATCTGCCATCATTCGCCGGGAAAAGCTTCTAATTATGCCACATCCAAAATATGCGTGCGCAACATCTTCTTCAAAAAACCTGCAAACATCACTGTGGCTCCAGGAGCTACAACTGGGATCCCTGAAAGCGATTCCCAATACCAAGCCACATCATAATGGGAAATGTGAATGGTATACCACGCCTGGAAAACCTCCAAACTACGCGACCAATGAACTGGGAGGGGGATTGACGTCACAGGTTTCCACAAACAAAACATCATCCCACAGAAAAAACCAACAAACCAAACCCCAAGCAGGATTTTCCAGTTTCAGAATTGAAGGTTTCCCAAAATCGCAGCTACCATCTTAGCCTTGGCTGCCACCCTTGCTGGTGGCGCGTCTTTCCCATACCGGCTTATGAATTGGTCAAGCTTCTTGCCAAGCCCTCGCTTCGGCTGGACAATTAGGGCTTCAAGGGATTTAGCTGACAATGGTGACTGTCCCAAATCAACAGCGTGGCCCAATTCTGCCTCCAGCAATTTAAGCGAAACAACAGGGATCTTAACATCTGCAAGGCTACTTTCCTTAGGGGGGTCTTGGACTTGTGTTGTGTGCTTGCTGGGCAGCTTTGGGACGGCGCTACCTTGCGCAGTTGACGTGTCATGCCCAGTCTGGCCCGGCGGTGCCTTTGGCACGCCCGCAGCCACTGCAGCTTGCTTGAGCTGCTCCCGTTCTTCCAAACACATTGCAAGCGCTTCTGCCTGCAAACGACGCTCCTGCCAAGCTGCTGCTTCTTGCTTCTGCCTCTTGTACTCTTCATAACCTGGTGAATTTTTCGGCAGCTTGTCAGAAGACTTACGTTTGTCAGGAGTCCGGGATTCTGATCTGGACTTTCGGCGGCGCCGGCGGCGTGAGTGAGACGATTCCCGCCGTTCACGGTGGCGATCATGGTCATAGTAAAAATAGGAATGTCGGGAATCCCTGCCAAAGCTCTCATGCTTCCGGCCATGGCCCTTTGTCGGCTGACCGCGCGCCCCAGCATCCACAACCCATACCTCTACAAAGAGGCACAGGAAGAACAACGCTTTCAGGGCTGGCCTCATGTGCTCCGGGTATGGAGAGACACAGAACAGCTACGGGGTAAAGCCAAAATCTGGCGGCAAGGCTGCACTACATCAACCGTGTCCAATGAAAAACCAAGCCAAAGCACATGCACTCTGCCGACAAGTCGGGCTTCTGCAAATCCCAACAAGGGCATCCACTGGGTTTCATGGAGATGCGGCGCACCAAAACTCGTCATAATTAAAGTCAAACCTAAAAGACAACAGAGACAAACATGTTCCTACCATTGGACATAAAACAAACCCATATCTCCTGCGAAACCCATCCTAGCAGCAATGATGAAACTGAAACCGAATACATAAGTCAAAAGTAGTAAAAGCATCAACAAAACAAAAAACCTAAAGCTGAACAATACTGAGCCATGTATGGGACAACAAGTCATTATCTTATCAAGCATTGGTTTGTCGTCTCACGCGCCGCTTATTATCTAACACTCGGATGGCCCTACGTAGGCTTAAAAGGCGACAGGTATGCAAAGGCAGCGAATGAATGACGGCTCTTAAAATACTTATCGGATATCCTTCCAAAATCAGCTCCTGGATTTCTTCAAACAGCAAAACCAACTGCGACTCAGCCGGCAATTCCAATTCCCGCAAACGAGCTAATCGACCAAGTAATAAACATCGGAGCATTCCAAATGGGCACTGCAACCTTCCCAAAAATGGCACATACCTTTCCTTCTTCTTGTCCCCTTTTCCTTGCACCCAGAGCCGGTTGGGATTTTTGGCCGTCCAGGATACTCCTCGCGTCATGGGGTCAACGCTAAACACAAGATCCGTCCAAGTTTGCTCAGCTTCCTCCAGGTTGATATCAAAATGAACAGAAAACATGCTGCATAAACCGGTCCTCAAACATTGATGGCAAAGACTACCGCTGACTAGGAGCAAGTCGTCAACATACCGCAAACCGAAAAAGAGCTCATGGATCTCCCATTGTGGCGGCACCTGCCAAACTCTGGTCCAACCACCTTGCAAAAATTGCTCCTCCTCAAAACTGAGCAAGCACACTGCTGAAATCATGCTGAGTAACCCGCCTATAACCAAGCCCCGAGCCTTCACAACCAGATTCCCTATGCTGGCAAATCTCAGCATACAACTGGCCTGAAGCATCCGTCGAAGCTGGGCAACAGAAAAAACGATGAAGTTCCGGGAGCGGGTATGTATCGAACCTCCGGGCCAGCCGCGCACTGGAAACTGTCGTCTGACTGTGATGGTATCTTTTTCCTGCAACTGCAACAACAATGCTGCTTTTGCGTCAAAAGCATCCAAAACAAGACGACTGTCAACCTGTTCATACATTTGAGCTGCGTCCGCCACCAAGAGTGTTGTATACCATTTGGGACCATTGCAGCAAATGCATTCTTGTGGATCCGGCCCCCAACGAAGCATGCCAAACTTTTGCCGGAATATCGGCACCACCTGCTTGAGCTTCCATACAGAAAACCCGGGTCCTGTACTGCTGATCAAAATTTGAACTGCTCGGCCTCCCAAGCGCCATGCTCGCCTCCATGACACATGTACGAAAGACACCACCTTGCGCAGGCAAGAATGGCCAATCTTCTGACAGGTATGGCCACCCGAAGCTGCGAAACACTTGGCCTTCACAAACGGGTACATATAGGGCGCAAAACTTGTCTTTGGAAGAGGCCCTCGTCGGAGTGCTGCTGGGATGGCAAACAAGGAAACACCATATACCAGAGTGCTGAGCTGCTCCACAGAAATAGCAGTTGCGTCCCACTGAGTGTCCAGAAGAACCAAGCACAGCAATGTCGTCGCAAAACACGCAAAAGGCATGGTCCAGGTAGATTTCTTGTCCTTGTCATCTTGGAGTAGTACATCGCTGCCTTTTGATGTCAAAACTTCCACGTACGCCGATTCCTCGGCAGTTGCATAGTCATTCGCTGACCGATGCACCGAGGACCACGCACGCAAAGATGCACGGCCGATCTGGCGCGGAAAATGGTTGTCCACGTGCCACGCCCTCAGCTCATGAACCACTGGAGATTTTGCCCAGATAGCTTTTTGGTCCGGAACAGCCCAATTTCCAGGCAACTTCTTCACTTCTGCACCCCGCCGCCAGTGTTCCCATTCAAAAAATCCTTGCTCCCAAACATCTGAGACGCGAATCAGCTTTGAACATTGAACAGCATTTCGGCGATCACTCAGGCGGGGAACTGCCCTCGTAGTGAAATGAACCCGGGCCATGATCCAATGGTACAAAAATTGTCCATGTAGAGCGGCGCAAGCCCGAGCTGCCACTGTCACTGCATGCCTAACTTGCTGTCGTTCTTCGGGAGTCAAGCATGGGAACCAGCGATGCCGTCTGGACGGCAAATGGTATCTGGCCAAAAGCCGATCGACGTGGCGAAAGCCATTGCTCTGTCTGACATATCCATGAACCAAGGAGATCAAATGAGCTAACCGCAAAATTGCACGGGCCGGGCCCCTACCCTTCAAGAGAAGGCGCAAATCCAGGTGCGCATGCTTTGAACAAGCCCACAAAGCTAAAAGCCCTCCTTGTCGGGTTGCGTAAATGGAAATCGGCCCTTGGAGGCCCCACTTTGCATATTGCTCTTTCTGTTTGCTGCGATATGCTGCTGAAAAAGTCTGCACTGTCCAACTGGGAGCAAGGTTTCCAAATGGGCGGCTCAACTTTTGCTGCACTATCTTGCATTGCCGCTGCAAACAAACCGGCGACTCCCAAAAGGAAACCTCTTTCCGCCGCCGAAAACGTGGAGGAGGGCGTTTTCGACTACGATGACATTTCTTACGCCTCATTGGCAAGCACTGTCCTTGGTTGGCAAGGGGTCTTAGACAACGGATAGCAACTGCCTCACAGGCCCGAATCCAAGTATGCGGCCCACGTTTCAAGATCAAAAAACAAATCTCTGACGCTGGACGCTGTCGTAAAAGGATAGCTCGAGTTGTTCTGGCAGCCGCTGAACGTGTCCGTAAAACAGAAGTCAGGTGCTCCATGATCCTGCTCACCACGCCCAATTTTCCATGGCTTCGCGCAAGCACTGCCTTGCCCACATACCACCGGCCTTGATTGAACAAAGTGTAGACACAAGCCTCATCGTCGACCCCAGCTGTTTCCACGCAGTGTCGTAAGAAGGCTACTGCTTGGGCTACCGCCTCTGGATCTGAAGGCAAATGGAAAAACAACCGGCGCAAGGGGCCTGAAGCCAAATGACAAATTCGGACTGCCCAAGGTGCGGACCGATGAGCTGATAGCTGTAACAAACCCTGCATTGTCAACAAGGATGCTAACAGAAGTGTGAGGTCACCACCATGTCTGTGCGTCTTCATGTGTGAAGGGAAAACGACCTCTAGCAACCACGCCTGCAAGTCAGCTAATACACAAAGCCAGAAACGCAACTGGTCAGGAGAAGCAAGAGCAAGGACCACTGCGCACCACATTTCATCCAGTAATGATTCTGTGCTGCACGCAGGCAATTCTGCCCTTCCAGTAAGCTTGCTCCACCGCCAGCCACATGATGTCAAGACTTCTTTCTCAAACCGCATGCTAAGGGAGGCTGTTGCACAATCAAATCAACAAGAATGACACGAATGTGAAGAATGGAGTGAATTTCTCAGAGCTAAAAGAAGCAGATTGGGATATGGAAATGAAGAATGGAATATGAAGAATGGAATATGAAGAATAGAATATGAAGAAGCTAAAGCCAAGAGGAGAGTCTCGTCAAGGGCCGTGAATGTCGCTGAGCGCAAAGCGTCAAGTTCACCCGGTCTCCTTGCCGTGGAATCTAACACTGAAAGTCAAGCTTTTTCGCACCAGGATCCATGCATGTGCGGCCCCAAGGGCCTTGAGCGACGTCCTAAACCCTGGGCCGTAAGTGGCTGCTGAAACTTCGGCTCTCCGGCAAATACCCTGAAGCCAATGGAATCTCAAGAAATGTCGGTGATCATATTCTTAACGTAATCTGCTGTGAAAGGTTCCTGTGATCATGTGCATCACATAATCTGCCATCGGCTGCTTCTGAGATCATGTTCATCACAAAACCGATCATCGAAAACCAAACTGAACGTTATATATATATAACATTATATAACTCAATATAATATATATATATAATTTGATTATTATTTAAGTACATGTATGATTATTTGATTATTGATAGGCGTTTTGCTGCCAGGAATACTACGCCAATTCGGGCGCCATGGTGCGGCGCATGAGTAGCTTGCCATCGGCCATCGTGACTCCCAGGGTAGGAAGCGGTTAACATTAACACAATGTGTATACATATATATATATATACATTATTTAATATTATTTATATATATAATTAGAGAGAGAGAGAGAGACATAGATAGATCTATATAGATCTATATAGATATACATATGTGTATATATGTATATGTATGTATATGTATATTATATAGATTTACTTGATAGAGGTGTTATCCCATGATTGGGCTATAAATGTGCAATGAACCATATACCAGAATGATACAGGTCAATCTGTTGTGCCCAGGGACCGCAAATCTTGAGTGTTCTTGCTAGCAATCCAATGTATGGCTATCCGATTTTGAACCGTACTGACAATAACGGTAACTCAGTAACTGATGTAGTTGACACGAAAAGGTGATGTGTGTCCTTGTGAGTACTCACGAGTTTTCAAGATGTGAGAATTAATATAGGCAAGCTTCCACAAATGATATGGTTCGCAACCCTTAGAAGAAATGGATGCATATTATACATATATATATATAAGTTATATATATATATCCATTTCTGAATCTAAATAATGTGTGCACTAGTTTTCGGAATCCCGAAGGCCAGAAGGCCCTTGGAGATGGGAAAATCATCGAACTAAAGGGTGGATGTTCATCACTCAGATCCTCCAGAATATTGTCAGCTCATTGTATCAATGAATCAATTTGTGTTTGAAGATGATCATTTTCGCCACTTCTTTTTGTGCTGAAAAAAGATCGAAGAATCTCAATGTTCTTCCGAAAAGAGACTCGATACGATGATTGGATATGATGAACTTGTGGGAACTTTTGAAACCTCATAATTTATCTTTCAAAAACAAAAGAACTAAAAACCTCTATTTTTTTATATTTGTCTTTCAAAAAAAAACTACCCTCTGGTTATTTAACATAGCCATGGAAAATCGCCATTTTTAATAGGTAAACCATCTATTTCTATGGGTGATTTCCGCGGGAAATAACCAGATGGGCCCCAGGTGATCTGCAAAAGCGTCCCGTGGAAGCCTTGGTCCTGGACACCACGCAGAAAGAGGTGCGGCCCAGCTCCTTGGACTCGGAGTGATGGTTATCACATGGTGAAGATGGTTGGTGATTTGGATATGTTGATTATATATGATTATATAACCATACTATCTTTAATGTGTTTTTTCGATGTTTTTTGATAAATGATCGTTGAGATGGTTGGTTGATGATTTGGATATGTCAATGATATAACCGTAAGAAATTAACCATCCTCTTTCATGTAGAAATATGATGTCCGATGGTTTTTGGTTTGTTTAAACCATCAAACATTTATGGGAATGTACTGTTGATGTTGGTTAATTGATAAGTTTGGGGGTTGCACTCATATCTTGGAGATTATCAATGAACTGGCAATCCCACAGTTCTTTACAGCAATGGTCTTGACCATTGCTCAGATAGTGGTACAATTGGGATTGCTTTTTCTAGAAAAAGAAACTGACATTTTGGGAGGTTTCTGAAAATGGGGAGGATGGATTTTGGGGGGTACCACCATTTTAGGAAACTTCCATTGTGGGGGATTTCGCGTCATATCCACTTATTTACCAGATGAAGTGCCTGCGGTGCGTGATTTTCTTACCATAAATGGAGGAATCTGGTGCTGACCAGTTACTGTTTGGCAGGATATCTGGCGGCGATAAGCCAACAACCCAAAGTCCTGGCACACAAAGGGACCATACATGTCCATTTTTTGGGTGATTCTGACCAGATTCTGACCTGAAGTGGCCTTCACTTGGAAAATTCTTTGGTCTCTTGTTTCTGGAGTTTCGGAGATATTTCTCAATCTTCAAGGTGTGCTGCACGTGGAATTCCATTCTGGTGGACCATCCTATTGGTCGAGTACTGTGCTTCATCTCGAAATCTCGTAACAGTCGTAACGCTGCAGTGTTCCAGTTGAGTCTGGGCCATGACCCAGACATACCCAGACCCAACAGGGGATGATCATCCGCTGCTGACACAACTTGACGGATGACATAAAAGGATTGGCATGGGATGTATGACCATAACTAATGCCATGCAACTTGACCAGGCCATATGTATATATATATGTATGTATATATGTATGTATGTATGTATGTATGTATGTATGTATGTATGTATGTATGTATGTATGTATGTATGTATGTATGTATGTATGTATGTATGTATGTATGTATGTATGTATGTATGTATGTATGTATGTATGTATGTATGTATGTATGTATGTATGTATGTATGTATGTATGTATGTATGTATGTATGTATGTATGTATGTATGTATGTATGTATGTATGTATGTATGTATGTATGTATGTATGTATGTATGTATGTATGTATGTATGTATGTATGTATGTATGTATGTATGTATGTATGTATGTATGTATGTATGTATGTATGTATGTATGTATGTATGTATGTATGTATGTATGTATGTATGTATGTATGTATGTATGTATGTATGTATGTATGTATGTATGTATGTATGTATGTATGTATGTATGTATGTGTATATGTATATACGTATATACCCCCCCATGATATCCCCAAGTCCCCATGGTATGGCTGGGGAGAACCACGGTTCCCCGGTCGGTGAAATCCCGAAATTTTCAACGGCCCAGGGAAGTTGGACTCGGTGCTTCGGATGGAGTATCGCACCAAGTTGCTGAATAAGTGGGCCGAGGCCGGTGATTGTCACGGAGAAAGCAGTGAAACGTGATCAACGAAATGCCAAGGTGACCATTTCAAGTGGAAAAATGATGATAAACATTGATAAACAATTGGTAAACATTGACAAACCATGAAGATGAAGATGGGTTGCCCCATCTTCAGACAAAGCCAGGTTTCGGGGGGGCCGGTATGGATGCTTTTTGTATCCCCCATGATGATGTCCCAAGGGATCGTAGGGGCATGGCATTTTTTTGTCATGAACTTTGCTGGGCAATCTCGGTGTTGTCCGAAAAAATTAAGAGGTTTGTTGTTGCTTTCCGATTTTAGTGAATTCAGCGTATGGTTTGTTAGTTCTTCGAACCCCCATTTGTCCTTGTTTAAATTCGATGTTGGTTCTCGAAATCCACAGTTTTGGTCAGTTCAATCCCAATTTTGATTGGTGCAAACCCTAGTTCCTTAGTGGTGAAATTGTCATTGACGTTGCGTAATTCACAATTGTTGCTGGTAGAATCACCTGTTTTCTTGACGAAATCGCTATTTGCGTAGCTTACACCACAAACTTTAGTGGTTGCATCGCATTTGTTTCTAGTTGTTTGTTCTTGAAATGTTCTTTGTCTTGTAACGGATCTCCGGTCATCAACTGTGGCTGGGAAATCCCCTCTAAATTTCTAAATGGAGGTTTCAAACGCAGAAAAAACGATGGATTTTCCAGCCAGCCATGTTTGATTAGAGGGATGCGGAGGCAAAAAATCCATGGATGTTTCCTATGATTATCCCATGATTCCAATTGTCCCATGATTCCTCCAAGTATCTCATGATTCTACCACGATTCAATCGCGCTATTTCCCCACTTATCCCCATGATTCTACCATGAAACTGCTTGGTGCTTCAAACATGTTTTATTTTCCATCATATATGGAATGTCATCATCCCAACTGACGAAGTCATATTTTTCAAGATGGTTATTGCACCACCAACCAGATATTGTTCATTAGATCAGGTATTAATCACTAATAACCACTATTAACCACTATTAACCACTATTAACCACTATTAACCATGGCTGTTTTTTAGAACAGCTAAACCTTCGCAAGGCCATGGTGGCGCAGGGCTCTGGGGGTGCCTTTGAAGTCTCTCAGCGCATGACGGCGCTGTTGGGCTGGGGAGGCACCACGAAGTTTGCGGAGGCATGGTGGGTTGGGGGGAGAAATGGTGATTTCTGATGGATGTTCAGGAATCATTGCTGGGAAATTCTGAGATATTCTGTTGATTTTGAGGATTGTTATTGATTGTTGGCTGATTTCTGTTGGTTTTTGTCATGTTGATTGAGTTGAGGCATGTGTGTTTACTTTTTTGCTGATTCGGGAGGTTGGGAAGTCTTGTGATTTGCCGAGACTGCTGCTGGTTCTTGATTCTGGGCCCATCTTAAGCAACGAAAATAGGGGTGGTTGCCCAAAGATGATTGATATACACATATATATATACAATTATATACATATATATACATATATACATATATATATACATATATATATATACATATATATATATATACACATATATATATATATATATACATATATATATATACATATATTACACACATACATACATGGTTCAAAACTGGGGTACCCTTAAGGGGCCCACGTATTGGATCAACGCAGTCATATGCAAAACTATTGACAGAATTTGAGCCCTTTCAATATCAAGGTCTTGTGAAGGCGAGCTGCTAAGAGTGACACCAGATATCACAAGAATTGTATATTTGAATACATACTTGATTATCTAAAAGTGTCATGGTAAACCATAAGTGTGATATATTCCATAAATTTGATTATCTATATATATATGTGATATAAATCTATTATTCCATAAATTTGTGATATACATGTGATGGTTGTTATGGTCTTTTTACGCATACACTGACATCAACTCTGACCCTCCATGGGAAGCGCAGGACTGGGTGTGGGACCAGAGCGCTGCACGATATGTTTTAGACGAAGATATGGCTCGGAGGCTGAAGGAGAGCAACCCAGAGGTGCGCTGTAAAATGGAAGAAACGTCGATTCTCTTTGATGTTGCATATAGATTAATATTATATACATATATATTTATATACATATAGATATGCATGAATCTATATAATCATATAGTGCGTATATATATATATATATATTATATATTAATTATATTAATGTATATAGAATATCCACATAATAAACCTTGGTGAACTTTAGGTGATCGTGATTCTTAGCCACATTTTTTCAGGGTAATCAGGGAATCCCACAGGAGGGGCCATCTTGCATATACCAGCATATACCAACAGTTTTGATGATTGTATAATTATGACAGTATGATATTAATGATATATTAATGAGATATATCTATATTATATATATATATATGGGATCGGGGGAACAATCGCGCATTAAACCTTGGTGAACTTTAGGTGATCGTGATTCTTAGCCACATTTTTTCAGGGTAATCAGGGAATCCCACAGGAGGGGCTATCTTGCATATACCAGCATATACCAACAGTTTTGATTGTATAATTATGATAGTATGATATTAATGATATATTAATGATATATATATATTATATATATGGGATCGGGGGAACAATCGCGCATTTCCCATATATATATATATAATCAAATGGTTAATATTGTTGATATAGTAATATAGCATACGCACTTGTTTTGTTAATATACTAGGCATATTGTTTATATAGTAATATACCATACATACATCTTGCTAATATACAATAATATCCTATTATAGCATATGGTATAATGATACAAGTATGATTTGGTGCGTGCAAATGGGTCCAAGTTTCAGGTTCTCCAGCTAAGAGATGTTGGCCATGTTTTAATAAAATGAAGCACCCTTTTTTGGCCTACCATATATCTTGATCCACACGAAAATGCAGGTTTTCCAGCAAGAGAACGAGATGTTACGCACCAATCTCATATCTCCGCATATCGATATACCCATCCTATTCTTGCTGGTTGAATCCAGAGCCCCCATAAATCACCATGATTATTGTGGGCTAGTTTAAAAAGACGGCAATCCACTGGTTTCTCGGTCTCCCACGTCGAGTACAGACGTCGCGTCTGTGATAAGAAAAGGCCTTTCGGAACATCGTGGGCCGGCTCTTGGAGGCCTCTTTTGGAATGGGGGATGGTTGGTTTGATATGCTTTAAGGGGTTAATCTATGGTTAAACCCATGGTTAACAATGCTTACCCTCTGGTAAATTAACATAGACCCTGAAAATAGCCTCGTTGTAATGGAAACGAATCTTCCAACCCCTATCTGCCAGGGTCTATGTTAATTTACCAGAGGGAATCGCCCCAACTCACAGCTTAACCATGCCATGAGGGGTTGGAGGATTGGTGTCCACTAGAAATTTGCGTTTTATGTTAATTTGGGGAGGGCAAAAAACCAGATAATGGGTTTGTTTCAATGGAGACGTGGGATGTAACCCATATTTTTAACCAGCAATATGAGATGGGTTTGTCCAAAGATTGGGGATTTTCCCACAATCATGGCAATTCTAAGGGTGAAGATGATGATAGACCACTGGATATGGGGGTGCCCTTTATTCAGACAAACCATATGAAACATCTCAAAGTTGAAATTGGTTGAGTTTGTTTGGCTGGGATAGATACAAACACAGCAAGAACAGAACGTAACATATTAGAACATGCCTGGCAGATGTTTGGACATTGTAACTCTGACTCAAAGAATTGCCAAGTAGATCTGATAGTCTGTCTCCATTCCAGCCACTCCACCAGGATTTGGAGGTTTCCAGCCAGTCACCTAAGTCATGGGGGTACCCCATTGATCATCCATTTCTAGGTGGATTTTCCCCAGAAAAACCATCCATTTCTAGGGGTATCCCGGTATCCGGAGGCCAAAGCGCGGGATCTTTGGAATGCAAACGAAGATGTGCTCGATCGAAGCTGGACGGAACGCCCTAGACCGGGAGATCAATTCGGAGATCGAGAGATCGACCCAACTTCGACCCAGGGGGGACAGGAAACCCCGGAATTTTTGGTGTCAGAAATTGGGGACATCAACACCACCATGAATGTTGGTCAATGTTGGGAAAAATTATCCTGAAGTTGGACTTGTGTTGATGCTTGTGGCTGAGTGTATTGGCTTGTTGTTATGACCACCACAAAGCGTGAACGCCTTCATGAAAGGAATTTTGATAGAGTTCATATTGGCATGCCCATTCAAATTGAGAAAGATCTTCCTAAGCTGGCACGAAAAAAGTAATCTCCATCAGCAAGAGCCTTGCGAAAGTGCTGCGCAGATACTATAAATATTGAGTTGTTTGGGCTCAGAGTCAAAACTCAGGCTGCGTAAGATTTGGGATGCTTCCCCCAAGCGGCTCATATCGGCGAGCCGAGTTTTCCAGGATTGGAAGTAGCAACTACACGAACTACCCCCGGGTATCCCCGGGTCGCATCAAGGATTGACAGAGATCTACGAGAATTTAGATGATGAGCTTGAGGGTGTGTCCTGAACAAGCTCAAGGCGCGTCTTTTTCGGGCACAAAAATGAACAGGACAGCAGGAAAGTTGGCGCAAATGAAGAATGACCCTCCTGAAAACTATTGTGCGCCAAAACTGTCTTGAAAAGGAAACAACTTTACAGAGGTGCACCCTCTTTTGCGGGAGGTCATGGGTTCCCATTTTATAGAGGGCCCTGTTGGGGGGGTCGTACCCCGCCGTTTTATGTCTATAAAATAGGGACCCATGATTTTCCGACTTAATCTACAAGGGGATTTTATATATATATATATATAATTATATATAATTATATATATATATACATATATACATATATACATAATCCCCAAGTTTGGGATTGCCCGCAAGTTTCTGTAGAGAGTCATGCTAATCCGGGGGGTTCCGGAGTGTTCCACCCATCATTTTCTCAGCTACTTGTTTGTCGGATTTGTCGGCCTGACGTCACAACTGAGGTGGCGAAAAAACCATTTACTAAGTGAGGTGAATCAGCAAGTAAGCCCACAATGGCACTATTCTTCATGATTTGTCCTGATATTTCAGATGAAATCCATCTCCAAAAGTTCGCAACCCCGCTCGCAGGATTTTTTGCGGAGAACCGAGAGCTGAATCAACTCGCGCAGTGTGGCGTGTCCCGAGGGCGGCAAGAAGCTGCCCTTGCGTGGAAGATTCAATGCCAAAGTGGGCTTAGTCGAATGACCAGTTACTTTAAGTATGAAGCCCCCAATCATTTGGGCACATTGTGCGTGTGTGTTTTAATGGAAAATTCATCTATAAATAGGGAAATATTGTAAAATAGTCTATGAATTGGTGTCATCTGCCTGGATAGTTATAACAACCCCACACTCAGGTCAGCATCAATCTGCTGTAGTGCAGCCAGAATCATTGAAGCACTCGTTGAATCCTCCCTTCCGAACAGAGCTTTACAGAGCCAACTCTCGATCCTCCATGTTGAGATGACTGGAAGATGTTGGAACCTCTGTAATCCCTCCAAATCTTAACAACGCACCCCAATTTATATCTATTCATTTCTTGGGCCCAAAATGATCGGAAAGTGGAAAAATGATCGGGGGGTTGGGATGGCTTCTTTGCCAGTGGTATCCCATGGCTTACATCCCATGGCTTGTTTGGTAATGAAACCTCTGTTTTTGATAATGAAAACGATTTTCAGTTCGGGTGTTGTCCCAGTTCGGAACCAGAACATGGAGTGTAATCATGTACATATAATTATATATATATATACAAACAAGCAACAAGAGTGGGCATATCAAAAAAATCAGGAATAGTGAATAGTTTGTTTGGACACAGGGTACTGTCAGCATTCCCTGTTGCCATTTTTTGGGCCCATCTCGCACCCTCAACCATGATACTGGTGCCCAGCTTATCTCCACACCAAGTCACAACATGTTGGTAGTATCTTTATTACGAAGATTTTAACATAGATTTACTATGTTGGTTTGATCAAGAAATGGATATGACCTCCACACTAGAAATTGGTATCCACCATGTTTCGGGACATGTTTGCACCCCAAGTCACCTCGCAACAGGGCCATCCCGTTATCTTTCGGAGCTGCGACTGCAGCTCTCTTGGAGAAAAGCTGCGTCAAGTGTGGCTGATGTCAAATGATGGCATGCCATCCATGGATATGTCAGATTAGTCTTAAAAAACAATATAAGAATGAATGTATAAGACCATATTGGATTATGGATTGAAGATCATTGAAGTGCCGAAGTCACCTGCTGTATGATTGTTATAGAATCATATTGGATAAGTTAGCCATGAAAAAGTCTGCAATTTTGGATAGCGAGCCGGAATTGAGGTCCGAGACGAGATGCATCCTTTGATGAATCCATGGGAATCCAAGTTATCCCAGCCACGTTGAGTGTCCAAAAAAATTTGGTGGCCATCCCAGCCATGTTTGGCACCACAGCCTGTGGCACCAATTTTGACCCTCCCAAGTACCTGGTCAGCAGTTGGTCAGCAGTGATATTGTAATGGGTTAATAATGATTAGTAATGATTAATGGTGATTCTGCTTGGTGGTTTCAAACATGGCTTTTATTGTCCATTTCAAAAAAAGGGGATGTCATCCCAACCCCATTGACGAACTCCATAATTTTTCAAGATGGGCACATTGCACCACCAACCAGTATATATGATTCATTAGATCAGGTATTGATCACTAATAACCACTATTAACCACCAACCAGTATATATATATGCTATGAGCCGCGTACGCGGGGACAACTTAAGCCGATCCCCCCCAGGAGAAGCGCGCTCGAGAAATGGATGACGCGTGGAAGCCAATCCCATCGCGATGACGCAGGGAATGGATGGGTTGCTGGGGGTTGCTGGGATGATGACATTACTAGTGATGACTGGGATCATTCCCGAAAATTCCCTGTGTAAAAACGCACCAGTAAGTAAATTTATACGCACGTATGTGGTCATGTTTATGTACGTCTACATGTATTTGCATTAATAATTTATCTATATATATATTACAGTATGCATCAGATCGCTTAAATCATACCAAACAGACATTTTAACTGCACAGAATGGATGCACTGGCACGATTTCACCATCATAGCCTTCGGTCGTTCATGCTTTTCAGAAAGTCCAAATGTCCCATTGTATCATATTGACTCATGTGAGACTTTCTTCAAGTGGAACCCGAAGTTACGTTCGAAGTTATTGGTCATTGTTGATGGGGAAACCAGTGGTTAGGAGGAGTACCCTAAGTAAAAAAGGTTTACCACATTTACTTCACTGTTCATTTGGGACACTAGCAAGACATCCTACATGATAATATGTCTATACCCTATCCTGTGTGTCCTATAAATGTGTCTGCCTGTAGGTACATATATATAACATATATATATATATATAAAGATAGAAAAGTACGGACTATGCTTCTTTTAATCTTTTAGTGACCAAGTATTCAGTGGGATGTGACTATTTTATCTAATACTAGTAGGTCCATTTAAATAGTCATCAATGTTTCCACTAAAAATAGTAATATCTAATGTATATAATAGGTCCACTAAAATAGTGGATGTCCTAGTGTATATAATGTCTGATGTATATACATAATAGGTCCACTAAAATAGTCATTCTGTTGATAATTACCGTCCTATTTTAGTGGGTTTTGTGACCAGAATCGATCTGGCCCAAAATCGAGGCTATGGGCCATTTCACCGGCAAGTTCTCCATGCTGAAGACCAGGCGGGAGCCATTGGAAAAACGATGGGTAAACTACAGGATGGGGGAGATCAGGTATGTGAACGTTGGTTTATAAAGCATGAAATAATCCCCATGAAAACTATAGTTATATCTACCATAAACCATTGTTAAGGTATTTAGACCATTCGTCGTTTGATGTTTTACCTATTAATGCGAGGACAACATCACCCAAATGTAAACATGCTCATTGTCCATAGCTATGTGAAATTACCAGAGGGTAAGCAACGAAAACTGCAAATTGAACCAGAAGTCGCAGGGAAATCTAACCGATGAGGACGGAATTGTCTAATGGCAGATGATTCTGGTAGGTTTGAATCAAACTTGATGTAGAGTTTCGGATCGAGATACACATCGTCAGCAATGAGGTTTGTTGGAGACGGATGACTTTACTACGGTTTTTTGTAGTAGGTTTTCCCCACCTATCTTCCAATTCCTTGTGATTTTCTAGGGTCTGGATGTGTTCATGGTGGATGGACAATGCCATCCTTTGGAAGACCCGAGGCAGGAGCAAACTGCGTTAGAGGCGTGGAGACCCCTCTGGGCTGGCGCGTGGTTTCTAGCAGAGAAATAACCGCTGGTAGAGTGGTTGATCAAATGGAGATCCATCAGCTATGGCGCCCAAAACTCGGAGCAGCTATGGCAGCTATGGTGGTAAATCCACCGTTTTTGTGGCACTTTGGGGTCCACAAACATGCCAAGGAGAACCGTTTTGGGTGCATCCCCATGGGATTTTGGCCCAGATTCCCGAAAAATATGAACGCTAATATCTATCAGGGTTAGTGGCCAATGATGAGGCAGAGATTCTTCTCCCATACGCATGTACAAGCAGACATGTGCTCCTTCTATGCTGTTGGTTGCTGTCAAAGGATAATGCTTCAGAAAACCACGATGTAATGTAAAGCCAATAGCAAACCCCTTCTTTGACTATGGTTTGTAGTACCTCCCATATGATTAGTTTTTGGAACATGTTGCTTTGGTTACTTAAAGCTTACCAAGTATGTATATATATATATACATATTATATAGGATTTCGTGTATCCCACTCCGGTGTCCACCCTCACATGTCCCAGAGCCAAGGTCCAAAGCCGAATCAACACGCAAGCAGACAACGTCTTGCTGTCCAAGTTCATGTGCGCCCTGTTGTTGATTTTGGGGGATATCATAGGGATATTCTAGGGAAATTCAAACGAACAAAAAACGGCTTACCCTCCGGTAAACTAACATAGCTATTGAAAATGGCCCATTTATAGTGGATTTACCCATTGAAAATGGTGGATTTTCCATAGCAAACTGTGAAATTACCAGAGCGTATATTATTAGTAACCATCGTTAACCATGCATATAAGAACCATATATTAACTATTATTAACAGTATATTAACCACATTCATGGCTGATGTGGGTGAAAGGACGGTTTTTCTTGATGAGAAATGTGGATGGTGAATGGGAGCACAGATCCCAAAAGCCTCGGTGGGATTCATCAACATGGTCCCCGGATAGTTAATGATAGAAGGCTTATGTGATAGAATTCCGCATGCTGTTGTTGATACATTTTGGATAGATAATGATAGATATAATGATAGATATACATGTAAGAAGAACATGTGAATATATGCATGGTTGAATATATAGAATCTGGTTGAATATCTCAGATTTCTGGTTGAATTTGTACCAAAGATAGACACCTCGCCATGTATTGCATGGTTTCCCACCTCGCAGGAGCAGCTGGAAGCAATCTTCCAGGGTGGCCGAGCTGCGGATGATTTGGACTCACATGACTTGGGACACCACCATAAACTGGATGGAAGATTGCGAATCTTTGAATCTAGATCCTGTTTGGTATCTATGTTACAATAATTATGATAAGTTACAAGCTAGTTGTTTAGATCATAAGTTGCATATTTCTATTAGTTGCTTAGATGAAGTAAGTTGACGTCACTTCGGCCACGCAGCATCGAAGGCGGAAAATTTAGAGAAGTTCTTTCATCGGAAGTTGGACAACAAGCGGAAACAGGTGGGGGGCCCCGACTGGGGAGAAGTTCCCTCACTTTTTTGGGGGATGACCATCCTTGAATACATGATTTTTTGGGGGGATTAACCATTAAAAGAAATTGACTAATGGGGATGTGGTAGTGACAGTTTGCGTTAGCTACGTTCAATTACCAGCGGATATGACTGGAGTCATCAAGACTTTACAAATATGAAGCAATCAAGTTATTCAAAGCATGTATATATGTTTAGACCTAGATAAATGGATGGGTAGATAAACATAGATAAACTAGTATCTCATTTAGTATGTCTAAACATGAAGATTTAAACTACCTATGCAAACACAATGGTGTTTACACCGTGTGTTTTCCATGGGGCCTTTTTTTGGGTCTCCCTCTTCTGAGGAAACTCAAGGTGTAAAAAGGGAATTCGGGTCCCACCGACTCCAAACCACGAACTGATGGGAATAT